CAGTGGTTAGAGCAGGGGGCTGGGAGGGGAGCCAGGACTCCTGGGCTGCCCTGGGGTAAATAGGACTGCCCCCGCGGTGTTGCTGCTGCAATGGTCCGGGGAAGGCAACCTCCGCCCCCTCGAAAATAGACGAGTGCTAGGACCCGGCGGCACGCGGGAGGAGGCGGGACTGAAGGGCTCCCGCAGAGCGCACGCGCAGTGGGGCGGAGAGGCCAGTGGCGCCTGCGCGTTGCGGGCTGTGAGCCGCTCGCCCTACGGTAGGTGCAGGGGGCCCCGGCGTCTCCTTGGCCCCTCGGCCCCGCCCCCGCCCGCTGGACCCCCGTCGCCATGGTGCCGTGGGGGTCCCGCCCCGCCCCCCAGGGCCGCCCCTGAGCCAGGGGCCCTGCAGCTCGGGGGGGGCAGTGTCTGTACGGTGGGGGCGGGGCGGGGTCTGGGGGCTCTGCCCGGTGGGGCTGGGGGCTCTGCCTGGTGGGGGTGGTTGGCTGGGGGGGCTGGGGGCCCCGCCCGGTGGGGGTGGTTGGCTGGGGGCCCCGCCCGGTGGGGGTGGTTGGCTGGGGGGTGGAGGTCTGGGGGCTCTGTCCGGTGGGGTTTGGGGGCTCTGTCATGCACAGTGGGGGAGAGGCTCCTGGATCCAACTCTCCTCCCTCGGGGTCCGTGCCCCTCACTGGCTGTGGTTGCCCAGCACGGCCTGAGCCGGAGCGACCCGCCCTTACTGCTGCGGTTACCCTGTGCCACCCGACATGCCAGGACGCAGAGCTCCATTCCCGGGAGCTTCATCACAGTAGGGTCCCCGCGGGTGTGTTCTCCCCTGGGACTGCATGAGTGTGAGGGTGCACCCCCTTTGGGTCCTAGGGGTGTACCGTCCCCTTGGGGTTGCTGCCGGAGGCCAGGGTTCACCCCAGTTGGATTCTTGTGGGTGCACCACTGCCAGTGGCAGACGTTATTTGGGGATGATAGGTCACAAATCTGAGGAACTGTCCAGTTTGAGGTGTCATTAGAGGAGGTTTGGAACAAATTGATAAACTAAACAGTAATAAGTCACCAGGACCAGATGGTATCACCCAAGAGTTCTGAAGGAACTTAGATGTGAAATAGCCGGACTACTAACTGTAGTCTGTAACCTATCATTTAAATCAGCTTATGTACCAGATGACTGCAGGATAGCTAATGTGACGTCAATTTTTAAAAAGGACTCCAGAGGCGATCCTGGCAATTACAGGCCGGTAAGCCTGACTTCAGTGCCGGGCAAACTGGCTGAAACTATAGTAAAGAACAAAACTGTCAGACGCATAAATGAACATAATTTGTTGGGGACGAGTCAACATGGTTTTTGTAAATTTTAATTTATGGAGATATCCCATCTCCTAGAGCTGGAAGGGACCTTGAAAGGTCATCGAGTCCAGCCCCCTGCCTTCACTAGCAGGACCAAGTACTGATTTTGCCCCAGATCCCCAAGTGGCCCCCTCAAGCATTGAACTCACAACCCTGGGTTTAGCAGGCCAATGCTCAAACCACTGAGCTATCCCCCCCGGGAAATCATGCCTCACCAATCTACTAGAATTCTTTGAGGGGGTCAACAACCATGTGGACAAGGGTGATCCAGTGGATATAGTGTACTTTGTCAAAGGCTTTCTGAAAATCAAGGTCCCCACCAAAGGTTCTTAAGCCAAGTAAGCTGTCATGGGATAAGAGGGACAGGCCTCTCATGGATTGGTAACTGGTTAAAAGATAGGAAACAAAGGGTAGGAATAAATGCTCAGTTTTCAGAATAGAGAAAGGTAAATAGTGGTGTAGCTCGAGCCCCGCCAGCCCTTGTCCCCTCCCCCCCCCCCTCCCCCCCCCCCGCAAATATAAGTAAAACTGTGCCTATGCCCAAGCCCCTCCTCCCCTCCCCGGCCCGGAGTCCCTTGCTCCCTGCCCCTCCCACTGGGCCCTGGCGTTTTTATAGCATGTTGAGGGTGGCCTCAGCAAGAGGATGTTGTGAAGGCCAAGACTATAACAGGATTCAAAAAAGAACTGGATAAGTTCCTGGAGGACAGGTCCATCAATGGCTATTAGGATGGGCGGGAACGGTGTCCCTAGCCTCTTTGCCAGAAGCTGGGAATGGGCGACAAGGAATGGATCACTTAATAATTCCCTTTTCTGTTCATTCCCTCTAGGGTACCTGGCATTGGCCACTGTTGGAAGACAGGATATTGGGCTAGATGGACCTTTGGTCTGATCCAGTATGGCCGTTCTTATACCTGTCATTCATCTGATAGGTGTATGGACAGAAACTTAAAATATGATAGATAGATTCCCCCCCAAGTTACATGGAGCTTGTAAAACAATTGCTTTTTGCTATGAAGTATTGTATAGCAAATGTCCTGTGGACAGAAATGTTTTAATATGAGCACTGTAGTTCACTAGTATTTGTAATACCGTATTTACAAAAAAGTGACCTGTCACAGACGTGTTCTGGTGTTGCTGGCAGAGGGGGCTGTGCCAGAGTGTCTCAGTGGCTTCTTCTAATGTGGCCCTGGCTGGTTCCTTAAAACTTGATTAGCATAAAATATTAGTTTTACAGTATGTAGTCTTCAGAGGGGTAGCCGTGGTAGTCTGTATCAGTAAAAACAACGAGGAGTCCTTGTGGCACCTTAGAGACTAACAAATTTATTTGGGCATAAGCTTTCGTGGGATATAACCCACTTCATCAGATGCTTGGAGTGGAAAATACAGTAAGCAGGTATAAATATACAGCACATGAAAAGATGGGAGTTGCCTTACCAAGTAGTCAGTGCTAATGAGGCCAATTCAATCAAAGTGGATGTGGCCCATTCTCAGCAGTTGACAAGAAGGTGTGAGTATCAACAGAGGGAAAATTATTTTTTGTAATGACCCAGCCACTCCCAGTCTTTATTCAGGCCTAATTTGATAGTGTCAAGTTTGCAAATTAATTCCAGTTCTGCAGTTTCTTGTTGAAGTCTGGTTTTGATTTTTTTTTTGTTGAAGAATGGCGACTTTTAAGTCTGTTATTGAGTGTACAGGGAGATTGAAGTGCTCTCCTACTGGTTTTTAAATGTTACAATTCTTGATGTCTGATTTGTGTCCATTTATGCTTTTGCGTAGAGACTCTCCAGTTTGGCCAATGTACATGGCAAAGGGGCATTGCTGGCACATGATGGCATGTATCACATTGGTAGATGTGCACGTGAATGAGCCCCTGATGGTGTGGCTGATGTGGTCAGGTCCTATGATGATGTCCCTTGAATAGATATGCGGACAGAGTTGGCAATGGGGTTTGTTGCAGAGGTTCGTTCCTGGGTTTGTGTTTCTGTTGTGTGGTGTGTAGTTGCTTGTGAGTATTTGCTTCAGTATATACCCCCGATACTTGAGTATATCGTCTGTTTCCCTCTAATTACTGGTTGCGCCTTTCTTGGATTAATCACAAGATCACTATTGTGAATAGTGTGTTGGCTGTATTGCCATAGTGCCTCAGTCAGGGATCAGGGGCCCCACTATGCTAGATGTTGTACAAATATAACACAAAGCTGGTCCGTTTCCCAAGGTCTTTACAATCTAAGGCAAGAGACAATGGTGTGAATACAACAAACAAAGGGGGGAGGGCAGGAGCACAAAGTAAGAAGATTAAGATCAGCCTGATAGGCAGTAGTCACAGCACACCAGCTGTTTAGGGTGTTGTAGGCATCATGGCAGAGGACAGTTTTAAGGAGGGATTTGAAAGAGGACAAAGAAATGGTTTTATAGATGTTTATGCACGCTCCTTCCATACAGAAGGGGCAGTATGGGAGAGAGAGCAAAAGGTACTCATGGGAAATTTGACAAATGGACAATCAAGACTGACTTCATTGCCCGATCGGGGGTGGGAGTTGTCTTCTTGATAGCCTGCGAGAGGTAATAGGTTGGGCTGGGATAGCCTGCATGGATCCTGAAAAGGACAGACCACTACTTTGTGCTTGATGCACTGGAGAAGGGGGAGCCAGTGAAGGGATGCGAAGAGTGGGACAATGTGGCTGTGGTGTGGAGGCAGGAAAATGATCTTTGCAGCAGCATTTTGAACACGTGTAAGTGGGCCTGGGTGACATTTGTCAAGTCCAGAGAGGAGGAGGAGGTGGCTGCAGTGGTTGATGTGCGGGATGATGAGGGCCTGACTGAGCATTTTATCTGTTCAAACACAGAGGAAAGGCTGGATCTTACAGCGGTTGTGCAGGAAGAAATGGCTTGAATTTGTGGGTCTAGTATGAATATTTTTCTTTAAATTTTTCTTTCTTTCTTTGCTTCCTATAGTGGGGTGTGACGGGAGGAAGTAAAGCCGCATCTACACCACCTCATTTGTTCTTCAGCAATGGTGTGAACTCCAGGTTAGGCCAGACAGAGGCATTTTACCACAGCTCTGAGGGCGTTAGATGATATATTGACGAGCATCCAGTCTACACTAGAGTTTATGCTGCTGCAGCTATACTGCTGATGAAAAATGGATAGGAAATTTTCTAGTGTAGACAAGGGCTATATGTGAGATACCAGCTCAGACGTTTTCTTGTCAACGAGTCAAACTATAAAGGTGATTTGCTTTTTGTGTAGAATATGGCATGGGAGCATTTGGGCAACTCCTGCTGGAAGTACAGTCTCGGCTGCCATATAAGCCCAAACTTTGAGGGGTTCTCTTTTTATTTTTATTGTTGGCATTGCGCTATTGGTGTGGTGGGCATTTTACAGATGTGTAGGAAGACAAGATCCTGTTCTGAGCAGTTTTCATTCCAATAGACAAAGTACAAATAAAGGTTATAAGTGAAGTTAGCCAAAATGAAGGATTTCTGATTTGCAGGAAATGTAACATTTTCCAAAGTTGGTTTTGTTGTGAATGAGAGTGAATCCAAACTGTAGTGAAATTTCCCATGAACTGGAATTCCCCCCCCCCCCCTTCATTTCAGAAACACTGAGGTGTTCAGGAAAGGAAGTCTGCTCCCCTGGCTGGAGAGCTGCTGAATGAAATCGATGTTCTTGTCAGTTTCAGAGCTGCTAAGAGCAGCCAGGAAGCTGACAGAAATGTCAATTCCACCTAGCAGTTGTGGGGGCTCCCAAGGTCTGTGTCTTTGGGAAGTGCCCTGAGCTGCAGACCCTGGGAGCTCGTCCTAGGCTCCTGGCTCAGCGGCAGGGAGTCTGGAATGGCAAGTCCTGTCTCTCTCCAGCTTCCCGGACTTTTGGGGGGAGGCAGAGAACGGGGGCTGTTCAGCTCCTGATGCTGGCGGGGAGGCCG